TCAAAAGACCTATTATTCCGATTTCTATGCAGGTTTGTTTTTTGTCCCCAAATTATTTCATACTTGACACCTTTAACAGACTATTATTCTGTGACAAAGCATTTTCTTTAAAAACCCAGACATATTTCGCACCATCATTATCTTTTGAACGATAACTGCGAGTTTGAATGTCCTAGTCCGAACGCACTTGATTTGGCGGCGGTCCCAATGAGTCGTACTCATTCAAAACTTCAACTCGAGAAAAACGCGAAAAACAGTTTTGGTTAATAAAACACTGTAGATTTGCTGTATTATTATAAATATACACTAAAAATGGCCAAACATATTAACCACTGATATCATAGAACTCATACAGAGTGTCAGATAATGAATAATTTCAAGCTCGAGCGTGAAAAATGAAGAAAACCGCTGGCGTTTGAGTCCGTACTCCAGGAACGTTCGGGTTTCCATTGTTATGCAAACGAACAACGAGGGATAATCCACTGACAAACATTACTGTCCCAATGTACACACTGACAGTTTACAAACAAGCTAATCCTTCAAGTGTCTCTGATAAGAGATCTAATAAAACGGTTTTCATGGTGAAACAAAATGGCCGATGTTTGAAAAACAATTGCTGCTTCAGAGTACGACACTGAGTTGGCGATTTTTCTTTGCTAAGATAAAATAAAATAATTAAAAAAAATTATATATTATCAATAGAATTAGTATGCTAATTAGGTATTATAAGCTATACAAAAAACTATATATCGTTTTCCCTGTTTGGCCATGCAGCTATTTGAGATATGAAAAGATGTCTTGATACGATTAATGACAAAATTGTATACATATAACCAACATTTAAAAAAGTAGCTCTGTGACACCCCTTTGTCTATGTAATTCTCTCTATCTTGAAAATAAGAGAATGACACCGTGTACAGAATTGATAAACTTGAATTTGATATAGAGGCTGGACCAGTAACTCCCCCAGTGTGCAAATAATCGTTGAATACAATATAGCTGTTAAAAATAGCTGTTCCACGTTCAAGTCCGGGTTACAACTTAAGGCAGTGGGATAAATTGTTTATTTAATGTGAAAATGGAAATTTAAAATCATTGCAAATAAGTCTGAAACAATCTAAATAGTTTGAGTGTAACAAGGAAGTTGACTTAAATCAGATGTACATTGGTAAGGCTGGAAGTTGTCTCATAGTATAATTATTTGCATGTCACTTTTTCATCATCGGTTTTAGACATAAGCTTAGTATGCTTTGACGAGTCGTGTGAGTAACGCTGTGCATAGTGTAATAAAGAAAAGTAAAATTGATCAGAATTGTATCAATAATGAATTATAGCTGTCAAATTTGGGGATTCCATGTACAGAAGAAAATATTGAAAAAGTCCACACCTGTTTTCCACACCTATCATATTAAATGTTGGTTATAACATTTGCAACACCGCTGCACTGGGTTAACTTAGCAGATTTCTACTGAGAAACACATAGGTTGTCTCGTATTGTTAAATACTTGTATTCTGTATCGTGACAATACTTCGTGCAATAAATGTTAAAACTACAATATGCAATGGCCGAAAATAGTTACAAGTACTGGGCATATAATGTGAGGAACTGTTGTTTGGTGTTGGTACTATTATGGCCTGGGTATGGAAGGGGTCGGCAATGTTTAGTCGTATGATATTGCTGCGCAACCATGGTCAATAAATCTGCAAATAATTTCTAAGTTTGACTCATATGTGTCCTTTATTGATTTTCTTAGAAGTTTAGGCGGAAATATTCCAAGAGAAACAAGTATTGTTACAGAAAGTGGAAGACGAATATCATTTTATCACGAATGTCCCTTTTACAAAAAAAAATAAGAGAAAGATCCCTATATTACAAATACCTATCATTTATAAATTCCACATTCAAATTCGCAATATTAATACTGACTCAGACCAAAGCATAATATAGCATTATGAAGCATTACTGGCTTAGCACAGAAGAAGTAGTGCGAGCCTTATTTTAATAATGTCTTACTAGTAGATCTGAGAAAGTATATAACTTGAGCAGAAGTAAATTGATTTTGTAACATTGAGGTATGTCGACAGTGGAAAGGTCAGCCAAGTCTTCATTTCCTTCATGGATTTTATAATAAAATTAATTTCTAGTGTGAAGGATTATACAATCATGCATCAGCTTGTATTTTGTGCAATATGTATACTCCTACTGTTATTTCAAATGCATCACTCTATCGCCAACACATTGATTTCATTCATCCTGTTTTGTTTCAGTGACAGCGATGATCGTGATGTACTGTTGTATCTTCCATGTTGCCAGGAAACAAGCAAGGAAAATAGCAGTCACGCATCAATCTGTATTTGAAAGACCGGGAATCAGACACAGAAAACGAACCTTTACCGATGAAACCAAGGCAGCGAAGGTTCTCTGTCTAGTTTTAGGGTGTTTTTTACTGACGCTGTTGCCTGGTGTTATTTCAATAATTATTGACATACTATTTGGATCAGTGTCCACGGAGTGGTCCTATTTTACCAATCTCATAGCATTTAGCAACTCGGCCATGAACCCTCTTATATATACGCTAGGTACCAAGCAAGTTCGCACGGCGTTAAAGAAGCGGTATTTCAAGTGTTGCAATAGAAGACCGAAACAGACGGCACACTGCGACGCTGTCACGGCCGTGAGCTTACGTGCTACTGCAGGGGCCTGTAACGTAAGTGTTGTCCTTGAGGACTTGGAAAAGAAGGATTCTGAACAATGTCAGACGCCAAATATAAACGAAATAATATACGAGGAACAACCATCACCATGAATATATAACATTGCGGCGTGATTTAGGTTGAAGTCACTACATAAACTAACCTACGACACGCTGCGGTGTAACACATTATTTTGAAATATTATATATACTTTACTGGAACAGTTAGACAGAGAACGACATAATTTTTTTTTTAAACAGTTCATTTGAATATTTGTTTCTGTCAAATTGATCTATAATACTCGCTAGATACTAGTAATCTGGAAGTTAACGAAATAAAAAACAAACATTTTCTTGATTAAGAACTTGATGGATATAAACAAGAACACAAGTATATTGTCAAATGTCATCATTTATATTAAATACAAGTAAAAACAGAAAGAATGTTATGTAAAAAGACAAATATTCATAAAATTACTTCAACAAAATTAAAAGAATAGTTTTAAATGACAAATATAATGTCACATGATAATAATTCATGAGAAGAACAGTTTTCAGCAATGCGGTGAGTTTCAAGACCAGAACATTCATTTTTTGATAGAGGGCGACATTCACCAACATTGATAAAATAACAAAATAGGTACTGGTAGTAAAGTACAATTATATATTATTCTCCAATATTTGTCTGAGATACATGTGTAGATACATGTGCAGACAGACGTACGACAGATGCACAGAGTTGAAATTATAAGTTCCTGTTTTCGGAATACGTCCTGAGAAGGACTAAAAAAATAATTTTATAATTGTTGTAATATGTAAAAAGAAATAGGAACCCTGTGATTGATGTTCGGAGTTGATGTCAGATAACTAATAAAAATAGAACAAAGTTAAAGAACTTGGTTGACCAATCAGAATGCTATTGAAAACTGAACCTGCTTACCGGTACCCGTTTTTTGTGGATTGATGCACCATAACAGACAATTTGTGCGGCTTCACTTCTTATTGAATTATAATCTTCAGCCGGATACCATTTGAAATCAAGAGGTACCCAGGGTATACCCATTAAAATTTAAGAGATACCAAGGCTATACTCATTTAATTTCAAAAGGTACCCAGGGTATAGGTATATGAATTCAAGAGGGACTCAGGGTGTACCTATTTGAAATCAAGAGGGATCCAGGGTATACCTATTTAAAATCAAGAGGTACCCAGGGTATACCTGTTTGAAATCAAGAGGTACCCAGGGTATACCTGTTTGAAATCAAGAGGTACCCAGGGTATATCTATTTGAAATCAAGAGTAGTAATCAAAAAGTTGGTAAAAAGTTGATGCGAACGGGAGCAGTGACGAACAATCACTCATATGATAATCTCCAAAGTCGACAGCAGAGCTAACAAAATAAATAGTGCTACTTACCAAAAAGGGGACTGCTTTCCACCCACTGGGTCACAACGGTTGTTTGACCAAATATACCCAACACAAATCGTTCATTTAAAAGAATTTATTTACATAAATCAATGAATTTATAACAAGCATACATGGAATAATATACAAGTGTTTAATTGCAGGGATAGATATTTTATTTGACACAAAATTTAGTATGAATGAAAACCATACAATAAATCAATGGTCAAGAAAAACACAAACAAAACAATAGACTAAACTAAAGCTTAGAAATAAAATCAATAAATTTTTCCAAGCAATTGAAAATGAAGCTATCTTTAG